TCCAAATGACTATAAAAGCTTGAAACAGATTTTTTAATGTAAAAAGAACTCTTCTTCCAAACCTACATACTACAAATTAATATGCTTATTCAAACATGTTGCTATTGTTCAGAATAATAAACCTTATTATCAGAACTGCATAGAGAGAGCTTATGAAACAGACAAAACCATTTTCAGTCATTTACTCCATGATTGTAGCGTGTCTTTGGTAGCACTTCTCACACAGAGGCCCTCCTTTCTTTCTTAAATCGCTCTCAAATAATTTCTATCCTCCTCTGCGTGGCTCAGCCTTTGCTAGCCTTCATTCTGGGTTATTACCACAAGGGCCTCTGAACTGGTTCTCTGCCGTCTCCTGACAGGGCACTCTGTCCCTTCTCCTGTGAGGCCTCTGTCTCCTCTCTTCTCTCTGCGACCACCTTCTTTGTCCGAATTCTCTTACTTTCTGACTCTGTTGGGAGAGTTGCTCCTTTATCATTGTTCCAAGAAAAATTTATTCAAACCTTTCTTATTTTAATACAGTGTGCTGAAATTTACATCTTGATCTCCTTGCCTATTCATCTTTATCTCATTGACATGGTCATTAACACATAGTAGCACCCAAAAGTCACTTGCAAATGTGTTAATGAAGAGAAATGAATGAAAGGAAGCAACAGAGAATGATCACCCATCTTATTCACCAGAGGCAGTTTTAAATGTTGTGGCTCTTTTCAAATATAAACATAATTACCTAATGTGCTTCTGAGCATATATGCAAACTTGGATGCATGCATACTGAAACAACAACAACACACGCATATCCTTTAAGCATGGAAAATGACCACCTTTGCAAAGTATCTAAGTCAGTCTGTCTGAAGACAAGCCGCAAGACTTTCACATCATTTTTGAGCAATGGCCACATTTTCAGAAATTATATGATCTGCCAAGGTGACTATTTCAAAGTACCTAGAGTTCATTTGGATGTTTAGATGCGTGTATGCATATATATGAGTGTATGTATATATTTCTTTCTTTTTTTTATGTGCCTCAGGCATGAAGCAACTCTGGCCACCAACACAGGCATCAAGCTAGGATGTACGAAGAACTGTACCTCTGCTTTGCCCCTGACTGATATAAGAGCACCACCACCAAACAGGTGTCTCCTTGCCCATTGCCAAGGGGCTATATAAATTTATTTAAAGTCACACTGTTTGCATCCTAATGATACTGTGAGGTGAAGCATGTTCTCAGTTAAGAATATACACTCCCCTACACCACCCCCCAAAAAATGAGGATCTACAAAAGGGATCAGAAAACTCTTGCCTGTGAGCCAAATACAGCCTATTTGTTGCCTATTTTTAAAAAAAATATTTTATTGCTTTTTTTTTACAGAGAGGAAGGGAGAGGGATAGAGAGTTAGAAACATCGATCAGCTGCCTCCTGCACACCCCCTACTGGGGATGTGCCCACAACCAAGGTACATGCCCTTGACTGGGATCGACCCAGGACCCTTCAGTCTGCAGGCCGACGATCTATCCACTGAGCCAAACCGGTCAGGTCAGGGTTTGTTACCTATTTTTGCAAGTAAAGTTTTATTGGAACAGAGCCACACCCTTTCGCTTACATATTGTTTCTTGCAGAGTTGAGTAGCTGTAACAGAAGAGTGGTGACAGAAACCATGGGGCACACACAGCCAAAAATATTTACTATGGTCTTTTAAGAAAAAGTTTGCTAGCCCCTGATCGATTTAAGTCATATTTTTTCTTCAGGCCTGTGATTTATTTCTAATATAAACTAAAAACAAAATGTACCTTCCCTAAGTATTATGTGTATTTAAGTGATATAAACATATTTATTACAAATTTGTATGATAAAATCCCTCATAACCCATCTAGGATAAAAATATGAGCTCTGCATAAGTACTTTCTCTGAAAGTTTGCAAATGTTTTCTTAAATGCATTACATAGATGCTATCGTTAAAAAATACCATCATGAATATATACAATGTATCACATAATAAACTTACTGTTTAGTGATGAAAATTCTACATCTGGGTAACATACTTGTGGCTAGTCAGATGTTCGGCAGATATTATGGGTATCTAGCAAATAAAAAATTATTTAATGAATGATCCATGCAAGCAAGCCAACAATCAAGAGATGAAAACATTTCAATATTAAATTTTTTAAGAAAAGTGAAATTCAGCTGTCAGGTGATAGTCCTTATCTGGTCAACATAACAGTAAGTTAATGTAAACATAATGTCAAAGTAGCAACTCAGTTTTAAAATCTTTGTGTTAAATACTATTCTATCAATGTTATCGGATTTTAAGAAGTAAGAGAAGTAAAACTATCAAAAATTCATGCAGAGCAGTAATTAAAAGAAGCCCTTTTTGTTGGCCTACACACACACACACCCACACCCCTGTGGTTTGAGTTATTCAGTAATCCAAACAGCAAAGTAGAAAATGTCTTGCCTACTTTTGTGCAACCAATTTCTAACATTTTCTTTGGTTCAACTTATGGGATCTAACTTCTTTTCCAATTTAAAATACCAGGTAGGAATTACAGAGGCGTACTTCAAGAGAACTGGGTAAGAGCATAAATCTACATCACAACCTATTTCTGAATCCTGATTGCACCTTCTTTTTGTATTATGAATGGGCAAGAGAATTAAAAATCTTGAGAGAAAATACAATAAGAAACCAATAGAGAGGTGACTTATTTCAATAGTCCCCAAAGCCAAGAACTTCCAATATGTAGCCTGATTCTCCTCCAACGCAGAATTACGGCTGCTAACTTAGGAGTGGCAGCACCAGAGATGAGGACTCTCAGAGGACTGGAAGCACGGGCTCTAACACTAGTGACCCATTTCCTACCGTGTAACCTTGAACAAAGCCCTTCATTACGCTATGCTTAAGTTTCGTCACCTACAAACTGGCACGAATCCCATGTCACGGCAAGGTTGGTGGGAGGATAGTGAGATCACATACATGAAGGCATTTTCGTTGTTGTTGTTTCAATTTAGAGGTCCTAGACTAAGGCAACAGACTACAATCCACCGTCTGGAGTGTAAATTAATAGGTCTCACTTTTATTTCCATTTTTCAGCTTGACATCTTTACACAGTTTTACAGCATTGGCAAATGGCACGAAAATGTGCTCCAAGCATAATGAAGCTTCTCATACCATTTTTCCTGCTGCTGCAGGACAGGATGTTGCACCCAACAGTGTAGAAGCATCAGGGATGGGGCTGTCGAAACATACCAAGGACCTTCAACACCACCACTCGATGCAGATGAAGGGCCAGCTATAAACTTCTGCAAGCATGCAGGCTGCATTTTGTGGCATCAGCTATTTCCAGCATCGCTAATGTACTGTAGGCATATACATATGTATGTATATGTAGATATAATATATGTGTGTATATATATATCCATTCCCTTTTCTTTCTTTTGGTTGTAAAACAGTATGAAGACCCAAGATTATGCATGAAATGGTCACAGCACAATGCAAAAAAAGTAAAGTGTCCCCTACAACCCAGGTGGCCAAGGGCATGTTGGAATTTGCTTTGCTATAGTTCTGCTTACACCAGCAATTCTACAGTCATGCATGGTACACACAGGAGAATTTGGCATCATCGATCTACCCCATAAATGGATTGCATTGAATCCATTAAGAAATGTCTGCCATAGATTACTTACTAACATGCTACATATGCACAATCTTGCATTCTTGTAAATGAGTCTGATGTGTTAGCATATATCCAGGGCTATTTTGACAAGCTGCAGGAAAACTACTGAATGGTCTTTGCCAAGAAATGTTTAAAGCTTGTGGGAATCTTTAAGATACATCCCTATACTGCTTTTGAAAGTTTTCAATGGCTATCCTAATAGTTTTTAGTTCTTCAACAGAATACAGTGTGTTGTAGAAATAAGGGTGGCTATTCCTCATAGCAATAACTACATATTCAAATGGCACTTAATTGGTCTTCTTTTCCCAAAGGGCAACGTGTTGATTCTCATCTCATACGGGCTCTTTTGAGATTCACTTGGCTATGTTTAACCTTAGTCTGTGGGTTATATGAAATTTGATTTGGCTCTAAATTTTTTCATATGCTATTAACCCTACTGAACTTTGCTTTCATAACAAATATATCTCGATATTCAAGCCAAAACCTACTTTATATAAATTTGATTCAATGACAATGCTCATTGAATCAATGTCAATTTTTAAATTATAAATATTTCAATATTCATTCTCTTTTAAATAGTCATTCTTGCCCTAACCAGTTTGGCTCAGTGGATAGAGCGTCAGCCTGCGGACTCAAGGGTCCCAGGTTCGATTCTGGTCAAGGGCATGTACCTTGGTTACGGGCACATCCCCAGTAGGGAGTGTGCAGGAGGCAGCTGATCGATGTTTCTCTCTCATCGATGTTTCTAACTCTCTATCCCTCTCCCTTCCTCTCTGTAAAAAATCAATAAAATATATTTAAAAAATAGTCATTCTCGTATACCATGAAATTTAAATTTCTGAAACAGATCCCTTTTACTTAAAAGTAACCTGTGTAATTGTTATTCTATAACGTGTATGGTACACAGAATTGATTGTCTTTTTCCTTCATAACTCCCCAAGATTTAAGGTGGGCAATGATAGAAAAAAAATTTTTCATTTAAAGAACTAAGAATCAAAATGTGAACATGAATTTAATCTATTTTGAATATGCAATCTGCTTAACAAACAAAACTTAAACAAATTTATAACAAACTCAATTTACAAGAGTGGTCCTTTGTGGCATATGTTAGATATTTAAATATTGTGCTTTATATAAAGAATTTAGGCAAGAACTGAGCAATTGTATGTACCAGATATTAATAATAAAAAAAACCTTAAAATTAGCTACATTTTTTGATCAGTCAAAATACCTGCATGATTGGTTGAGACCAAATGAGAATTGCTTGTGTAAATAAAATTTTAGTAGCTTTAGAAATGGAGCTGCGACAACTTTGGAGCACTTATAAATGGCAAAAAAGCATTCTGCTGCTCATCGTAGAGAGAATGTGTAGGCCAACAAGAGGAATCTTTGAAACCCCATGCTATTAAAGCACCCACGACAGCCCTCACGTACACACGATTCCCACTGACCTCAATGGGAAATCCCCGTGCGTAAGGGCTATTGCATTGAGCCCTATCAGAGTTGGTTTTTAAGAAACAAAGCTGTAAATTAGCAAACCTGGTTGGCTGTGGCTGTTGCAGCGAAGGGAACACTTGTGGCAGATGTTGTTGCTGCGGACACAGTGGCTGGCGTAGCACCGTGCACCATGGGAACTTTCGGAGGGAAAATCATATAAGCAAACATACAGAAGAGTGTAGCAATATGGAAACCATGGCAACATGGAGAGATAATTGGGTATGGTATTTATCACAGCAATAAGCCATGTGACGGGACATCATCACCAGCGAGTGACATGCAATCACAGCGCAAAGCAGGACAACATTCCAAGGAGAGAAGGGGAAGGGAGATGAAAGAGAAAAAAAAAGGGGAAAAAAAAGCTTGTTACCATCAAATTAAGAAAATTGACACAAACAGGCTTACTTTGCTAAGTCACAAACAAGAATTTTATATAGTGTTCATAGACATTCTAAATCTAAGTCAACATACAGGTAATTACTTCATATATATATATAGTTAACTGAATGAGAGTAATTTTTCTTATTTACTATTATAAAAATATACAATATATTACTTTTATGAGATAGATTTTTTTACACACTAGAACTCATAGTCCAATCAAAATCCACCAAAGGTGACTAAAGGAAAGTTGTGTGTAAAGAAAACATTTATGTGAGTCCATGTCAATTAAATAGAAAATGACATTTAATTGACAGGTGTTAGTAAAAGGGAAATGGACTTGCCCAATAGATATAAGTTAAACTTAGCAGTGGATTTTGAGGGGCTGTGAGGTGCACCATAGGTTTAAGATAATCAAGAAACAAAGCTGGCACCTACCAACACTTGTAGCGGGTGTCATGCACAATATTGAGCCTGCCCATCATGCATTGCAACAGGAAGGTGGATTTGAAAGGGAAAAGAATTAAAACATCCCATCACACGTGTAATTAGGAAATTCATTTGAACAAAGAAGAAAAATTGTTATTATGGGAACAGTGGCATGTAACTGTCAGCACAATCAAATCATACAATAGCACAGTGATCAATTAGAACTAGTCTCGAGTGAAGAATAAAAGCCAGTTCAACTGTCTGCTGATACACTTTGTTTCTCCTAATTGCTGCCTTATTAAATACAAGTATTTGGGGGGAAAATTTAAACCACCTTAATTCTTTTAAAAATAATACTGTCGTTTGTCTTGTTTTAACCTGGTGACTAGCCACCTTGCCGCTTTGCCATTTCTGACTTTCACATATGAACTCATTAACATTTTCTTTATATTGAGCACATGTTAAATAATTAAACATATTATTTATTATTAAAATGCTGAATAATTCAGTGCACAAAGCTGACTTAACAATGTAAGGAAACCAAAACATTCATTTTCATTCCCTTGGTTTTACTTTCCTGTTCACTGTAGCAGCAACCACACGGACATGCAAGAGCTTGTGATCATCCACATGGGCATTTTATTTGGAGGGATACCAAGCAATGAATTATGGGTAAAGAAAAAGTGAAATTTCTGTACTGCCTGAGCTCGGAATTTAAATGCAGGAAGGATATTTAGAGGGGATACTTTCATGTTTCAAATTGGTTTACTTGGTATCCAGGAAAACAGACTAGTTTTCCTTGCTGGTTTAGACCCTCAGGACTTCTTGGAATAGCAAATATTCTAGCAAATTTCACACACAAAAATTGGTAATTAGACTTCAGTAAAAACCCTGAATGGGAGGTAACGAAGATACATACATGACATATGCGGTGTTAGCACTGATGTTCACAATTGCTCGACCATGATGTTAAATTAACAGTACATATATATTCCTTTTTCTTTGTCACATATAAACATTAAAAAATCTAATTTATTTTGCCAAGTACAGGGCACCTTCTCAACTACAGAATCCCTGTTCTTTCTATGAGATTATTTTAGACTTTGAGATGTTAATATTTCCAATGATTTTACACTTCTATCTGAATCTTGGCACATCCTATTTACATACTAGCAGCATCTGGGATGAACATTTGTTAGAAAAATATCTGCCAATTGAGTCTTGTCAGAGACAGCACTACAAAACAAAGCTCCATTGACAACCACCGACCCCTCCACAGGCATCCCTGGGACAGCTGCAGTGAGTCTGTGATCACAATTAGACTGTGGGCACAATGAGCAGTGATTAAACTCGGTAATGGAGCTCAGGAGGCATCGTCTCAGGTGGAGTTCTATTACAGCGATGGGCATTATTTAAGACACCCGAAGACCTCTGCCACTTGCTACAGCTACTGAGTCAAAGACTTGTGAAAGACAACAAAACAAACCTGCAATAACAGGGACGTTACTTTGAGACAGTAGAGCAAGCAACATTGAATACTGTACAACTGAGTCTAGATCCTGTGAAAGCATTATCCTCTAATGGGAGGGCGAGAGGGTGAAAAGATGAGTGACAAAGAATAACATGGTATTTTAGGAACATCAAACCTAGTTTAAATATTGCAAAGGTTTTATGTTTTAAATTTCTTATTTGTAATTATGCTGCAGTTTGCCTACTATATTTCACCCCATGCATAATTAAACCTGCACATGCTGAAAATGAGTTAACCTCACTCTATCTCTCTAAAACCCTGAAGCTTTTATTATTTGAATTTTAGTTTGAGTTATCTTCCTCATTACCATTATAACCAATGCACACAGTTTGGGGAGGGGTTTGCAGCAAATAAACATAAGGCAGCAATGAAAATACTAGCTAGGGTGCAATAACTCACAAATATGAAGACATAATGCTGTAGGACCCACTTACCAAAAACAAAAATCACTTTTGAAATGATCATGATGTCCATTTTAACATCAAATGGTTTGATTTACTTATAATGATGCACAAATAGCCAATTACATTCTTTTCCCTCAATATTCAGCACAAGACCAAATTTAAATGACTGTATTTGTCAATTTCAAATTTCCCCTATGAAAGATATTTGCATGGCAGAATGGCGTGTTTCTGAGGAGTGCATTACTTTAATTACATGACTTTTTAAGATTAAATTTTTAAATCGATCTGTATGACGATAAAGGAAAAATAACTAGGAAAAAATTTACAATGAGATGTATGCATAGTTAAAATTACTTCAAGGAGAAGGAAAAGAAGTAGGAGAGAGAAAAAGAAACAATGGAGAATTGGTTGGAGGTTCAAATTTAGATGTGATAATTCAAGCTTATGTAGGTATATTATGATAAGTATTAGGTGTAATTCTTTGAAATTTTATCTAGAGATCTGACTATAGAAAAATTGATGGATTTTGTGTTGGAGACAGCATAAATTTAGGGGCATGGCAATTTTAACAAGAGCAAAAAGATTAATTTCAGAAATCCCTGGAAAATTACATATGTTGAAGAATATGTTTTAATATTATAAAATATAAGATAAATGTGATTTTTAACTCAGAATACAAAAAAAATACCCTACAGATCTAAATGGTTTTATTTTAATTTGAAAGTGGACAAACTTCAATTTGATAGATATTATTTTATGAGTACAAATATGGTTTATTTACAGTGCCTAGAGCGTGGGCTATTTCAGTTAGTGGAATATTCTAGCTCATTGAGTGCTACTACATATTCTATATATGGATGACCAGTTTCCAAAGATGCACAATATAAAAAATTGTGCTTAGAGAAAATTGATGAGAATATAATTTATTCTTCTTTATTATTAAAAAAATAAATGATCACATTCCCTCATGGTATTATGAACTTAATGCACTGCCAATACTGTCATATACAAATGGGTCTGGATTTTTGATACACCTATTAAAAATGTATTAACTAAAAAAATAAAAATTACTTTATTAAATAAGTCTCAAAACCCATGGTAATTTTTTTTGTAAGGTTAAGAGGTAAAGAGGAAAATGGTCTTAGTCTCTGGTTAGTTGAATTTCAGATTACAAGGAAATTAATATGTATTTTCTGAAGTAGATGAAGAACGACTTAAAATAAATATCCAGGTCAGTAAATGACTGATTAGTTTATGTTTTTAAATTTCATAACCTTGTGGATGGTTCTAGAGTGTTTATGTGTCTAAGTCGAAATCAACAAATGTATGACTCAAGAATAAATGTTATTTTCACTGGGCACTTACAGCTATTTCCATATTAGCTTAGGATCAATTGTGATCGTAAGCCATGCACTGATTGGTACTGAAGAGAACACTTTTAAGAGCCCTAGAATACAGTCAGTTTTTTATTCTCCACCTTGAGAACAAAAGGGCTGACAAATCAAAAATCAAAACTGAAGGTGTCATTTCAAAGAATTCGAATGGACTCTATGGAATCATGAAGGCAAAGGGGTCTTACAGCAGAAAAGTGCCATACAGTAGCCTGACACACATACAAGACGTTTGAGGAAAGAAAAAACAAAAAGCACTACATTTCAATTCTACATTGCACAAACAAAAATAAGTACATAAAACATCACTGATCTTTCACCCATGGTTCATGAAGCTATAATTCTTGGTCTCTAAGGAAAACCACATGAGATACCTCCGAGAAGTTCTCACTGTTGCACCTTACCTTCCACCTTATTTATGACTAACAACAAATTGAGGGCACGGCTGGTTTATCTGCTCTACCAGTAGGACACTATGTGGATTGGCTGATTCACGTATAAACAGACTCAAACCCCTTACCTGGTGGGAGAAATGCTGTATGCTGTTGTAACTGCATGTTGGCTAGAGCCTGTTGGTATTGGAAAATACCAGTGTTAAAGACTGCGGTGGCACCGTTGGTTTTTTCAAGAGCAGGCCTCTTTGGTAATGGGGGAAGTACAGCTTGAGGAATTCCCTGTTTAGTGAACGAGTATAAAAAACAAATACCAGTAAAAAGAGAAAAAGAAAAAAGAAAAATCAGTTGAAGGCTAAAATTGTTAGGAAGCCTGAGCAAGCAAGCAGCAGAGCACTTAACCGGGGGGGGGGGGGGGGGGCGGATCCAATAAACAAACAATTTTTAAAACAAACGCAAGATAAAAGCTTTAAAGGAAGCATTATTTTTATCAAAAACAAAAACAACAAAAACCCCACTAGTTCATGAGCACTTGTTACAATGCGTTAAGTGTTTTAAGTCCCATAATGCTTCGGGCTTTCTCTGAGAAGCCACTGATTTAGGAAGAGAAGAAAAGCTGCACTGTGAGCTCCATGAGGATTGACAAGTATAAGCAATGTTAATCGTTAATTGTACGGAGTGAATGAAACAGGTCAAATAAAAACTGATCCCGCTCTGCCCCGCCCCCCGCTCTACCTAGACATGCAAATGTCCCAGAGCATGCAAGTTTTTTTTTTTTCTTGAACACTGAACTTTAAATATTAAAAAGTAAATAATTCTATCGCTAAAGCCATGCTAACCAAAGAGGTACATAAATATACAGTCAAAATTACAATTTTAATGTCCTTGAAGTATTTCATTTGAACGTTCTACAATGTAGTTAAACTGAATGTGGGCTGCTGGGCTTTCAGAATCTTTCATTGTATGATATCCATCCAGGTACTTAGATTATATAGTCTTTCCACTAGTTTTGTCAGGAAACCACACTCAGTTTTTCATTGTACTTTGCAACTTTATAACAGAAAATATATATTTATATATATTAAAATTGACTATAAAAAAAAAACTTGTATCTACAACAAAGCTACATGCCAAGCTAAAAGGTGAAAGGTCATAGTACCAGGTCAAAGGTTGCCTCGAGGGGTCGCTTCAGTGATTTGACAGCCGACTGAGTCTTAATTAGCAGGCAGCGAGCACATGATGGCAATGGGCCAGTGGGGTTCAAGCGCATTAACATAAACAGCAAGCAGAGGTGCATCATGGGGGCAGCAGTGCATTTTTGGGTAGGTGAGAAAAAACAAATAAAAAAACAAATCATCGGAATGCCATATACAACGAATAACAAGACTAAGCATGCACAATAAGGGCACTACTGAGTTGTTATTGGGAGGATAACTCCTCTTTGTAGTTAATTACAAACAAGATACTCTAACAGAAAAAAAAAAGTGAAAGGAAGAGAGGAGAGAGTCAGCCTTCTGTATTTTTGCTCAAGTATCCATAAACAAACACAGAAAAGACCTCTCTCGTGATAATTGTGCTTTAAGACTATTTTAATGGTCGAGTCATATATTTATGTATAGAAAGGGACAACATTAAAATAGCTAAGCGAAGAACAAAGACTGGGCTCGTTAAAATCAGCTCTGAGATCACCTCAAAATTTACCTTCAGACCAGAGTTTCATATCTATTCTAAATGATCCCATTTCTAACTCCTCTTTTTCTCCTTTCTAGAGAATGGCATCGTTAAGCATCTCTCCTTTTACAATTATGTTTATGCCACAATATTATTTAAGACGATCTAGAGAGCCTACGTGGTTCGAATCTTGCAGCTAATGCTAAAAACAATTTTGTGGGAGCAATTCTCCTAAATAGTTTCAGATTATGTGACTGTTAAAAGCAAGATATATATATATATATAGAGAGAGAGAGAGAGAGAGAAGAGCCATGGTGTGCAGAAGAGCGCACCAAAGAAGGAGAACACTGGCTGATTAGATGGCACGCAGACCTAAGAGCACCAGAGATGGCAATATTGTTAAACTGAAAAGGAGACAGGTGTTCTTTACAAAGCAGAAATGTCAGAGACCCTACCATCCAGAGTAAGACAGAGTATTAAGAGTTAGGCCAAAGGTAGAAGCAATGTGAAACCATTTGAGGAGTTACCCTCACTTTTGTGAACGGTAACTGCATTAGGTATTGTCAGGGATACCTGAACAAACATATCTTCAGCAAAAAAATAAATAAATAAATAAACAAGGTTAATAAAGGAAGAGCCTGTCGTCAGAGACACTTGTTCACTTTGCTAACAAGGAGTGGGCTGGTGTGCCTACTCACCATGGCAGCTGCGGTGGCTGCAGCCTGTGCTGCTGCAGCCTGGTTGACCTGGTATTGGGCAGCCTTGATCTTGGCTTGCAGATGTGCGGGAGGATGAAAGTATTTGCACTTTTCCCGAGAGCATCTCCCTTTGATGTAATCCATACACACGGTGACGGTGTTGTCATTGGTGTCAATCATTGTGCTGTCAGCAGGATGAGCAAACCGACAATCGCTTTCTCCTCGGTTGCAATTGCCACGCTGGTACTCTCGACATACCTACAAGGTTATGAAGTGCAAGGGGAGGTGGTCAGTCAACATGGAACAAGTTGAATCTGTCTTGAGGATTTTCACTGACAGTGCAAGACTGGTGAGAGAAGGCCACAGATGAAAAGGGAAACGAGCATTTGCAAACAGAGAACAAAATAGCTTGAAAAATTCCTCCTTTTCAGTAGAATGTCCATGAGCAGGAAAATGCATTGATGATACTAATTATGTTAAACACCTAATGTAAAATATGTGGGTATATTTATTAGTTACTAAGGGAAAAAAAAATAGCAACATTGCAGTACAGGAGTCTGGCAGACTCCAGGTGATCAAAGTTAACATCACCAGTAACAAGATGTTCAAGTACCTACTTTTACGAGGCACTGAAAAAAGGGCACGCCATCGCTTTGGTTGTATGACTGCTGAGAATGCATAACCTGAAAGTAATCACGAGGAAACTGCAGACACACTTGAAATGGAAGGATATTTTACAAAATAACTGACCAGTACTCTTCCAAAGGGTCAAGGTCATGAAAGACAGAGAAAGGCGCAGATTGGACAGCTCTGGAGTCAGAGAAAGGATGCTGTTAAGACAAATGATGAAACCTGATTAAGCTCTGTAGATTGGCTAACGGCAGCATAGCAATGCTAATCTGGTTTTATAAATGGCTCTATGGTTATGTAAGATGTTACTATTTAGGTAAGTTGGGTGAAGAACAGGCAGGAACACTCAGTTCTATTTTTGCAACTTTTGTGCTAATCTGAAATTACTCTCAAGTGAAAATGTATAAAGCAAAATTTGATAGCTTTTTAGTAAAATGTTGCCAGGAGCTTTTTTTTTTATCATTAGAGATTTACTTGGTAGTTATATAAAGCAGGTGGCAAAAGATTCGTTTTTTGTTATTGCCTATTTGTTTTATGTCTTTCAATTTTGCCATGGGGCCAAGGAGGAAAGGTGAAAATGGATTATTTTGCATTCATTTGCTCAATTTCGACTCTTACTATTATTATTAATAAAGTCTGTCATGGTGGCTGCTCCTGTCAGGTTTCCAAAACTGTCTTCATTTGGGATAGTTTGACCTCTTTACCACAAGAGGGCCTTCTAAAACATGGAATGTTCTTTTAACATTTTCATGTTCCTGCTTCAGGCTTCAAGGAAATGGTTTTTAGTTTTCACTGTTTTTACAAACTGAGCAAATAAAGACCCGAGCACTTTATTTTGGATTTCAGCAAGAAAGAGGAACGGGAATCCTGTTACTATTTTAAAAGCAGAGGTTTTCTTGGATGTGTATACATAAAATGATCACATTTCATTTTAGATCTTTTCCCCATTATATTTATATCTTATTGTCTGCTTCCTTTAACAAGGACTGTGTAATCTGCATCATGCTACATCTTGAAAAGAACATTAGAAATGACATCTTATACTATTTGGAAACCTCAAACTAGCTAAAGCTTTGTATTCCACATACCTACCAATGAGCCAACTCTATTCACCACCTCATTCAATTTATTTAATTTAAAAAAATCATTGAATAAACTACTCTGTGCTAGATAATCTGAGAGATATCCAGAATACAAATATGTCCCTGGACTGTTTGCTCAGTGGTTAGAGTATCAGCCCTGGACCCAAAGGTCTAGGGTTCGATTCCCAGACATGGTTGCAGGCTTGATCCCAGGCCCTGATCAGGGTGCATGCAGGAGGCAACCAACTGATGTGTCTCTCCTCTCTCTCTCTCTCTTTCTCTCCCTCCCTCCCTTTGTCCCTCCCTCCCCTCCACTCTCTCTAAAAAAATCAATTAAAAAATATCCTCAGGTGAGGACTTAAAAAAAAAAGAATATAAATATGACTTAGGGAGTTACTGACAACCCTATTTTATTCCATTTCATTTATAGGTTTATTGTAATGATTTATTACAATTTTGTACTTGCTTGTGGGATGCAATAAGGGAGAATTCTGAAACTAAGCAGAGTTGGTAACTAGCAATTAGTTTAGAATGTGTTCTGAAGCCACCCTTTTCTGAACTTCAAATAATTTCATCAAATGCTTTTGAATGATATGTGTTGTCTGTTTCTTTCTTCCTCCCCCCCCCCCCCCCCCCCCCCAGGTTAAGGTTTTTCCCAGACATGGGAAATGAAACAGAAAAAATATACTGAAATAGCTGTTCTCCCATTATTGTCTTTGAAAAGTAAAGAAGAAGTAAAAATCTCTTGTGAAAACCTGTACTTTTGCGAGCTACAGGCCAGAGGGGCTGGTTTGGCCTGATTTCTCTGATAAATGCAAGAAAACTTTAGACTCTGCTGATCCCCAAAAGAAATCTCTTAGATATAGAATTCTATTAGCAAAATATAATTGACACACACAATTTCAACGAATTTGATCTGTGATTCAAATCTGGATAAGAACTTGTACAATTTGGAACACAGAAGGTAAAACTAAATTTGAAATCCTAACAACATTACGGTTTCTTCTAATCTCATGCAGTCGTCTGCGTAGCTCCTACTTGTGACCTGCTTTCGCTAAACACTTTTCATTTTACTAAGTGTCCACAGTAATCATTTTTCTATGGCTCCATCAAATTCCATCAAATAGATGTGTATCATATAGGTAACTTTCAGAGAACATCCAAATCATTTCCAATATTCCCAAATACCATAAATATTGCAAAGAATACATTCATGACTATAGGCATTTTCTGATCGTTTTCTAAGGATAAATGTACAGAAATGGCATTAGAGGATCAACAGTATAAGTACTTTTTATAGTTCAGTAAGTAGCTTTTCAAACCTAGATTAAAATAATTCCATCCATTTAGCTAGTCACGTAACATGCTTCAATCAAGAAGAATATTGGTTGAGTCTTTTACTCTATAAGTATTAAGGCAGGATTTGTTATTTAAATCAGGTAAGTTTTAAATATTTGCATAGAAAATGAAAAGAGGTTCTTTCATGGCAAAAAGCATCATTTCAATGAAAATATTGACTGAAAACACTTAAGTACTACATTTCGTTTCCAAAAAAACTCTATGGAATAAAAAATAATCAGAAAAACTTCTCAAAGAAATGTGAATTCTCTATAAAGCTGCTTCTGTTGATTAAATAGCAGTGGTACAATGGGAAAAGGATAGAGTTTATAATCAGAAATCTTGGGTTCTAGTTCCTACACTCACTAGCTACCTATACAATTCCTCGAGAATACTGAGAAAATTTATAGATAGCTTAAAACACACCATACATGTCTGGTTAAAATAGACAGTTCTATTATTTGATCTCTAATTTTATATAAACATGACGAAACTCAGCAGTAGAATTAAATTCAGCAGTTCTCTGCAAATTAAGATCTTGGGATTCTAAGGAAATTAATAGCAATGGTTGAACTTATTCAAAACTAGACAGTCAACTGCATGTTCTTAAGGAGAGATCAATTCCAGTAACATGATTTGTGCTCAACATATTAAACTGAGTCATCTTTGGAGAATAACATCCAAAAGCAGGAACAGGAAGCTAATTATAACAAGAAACAGGGACTCAGTCCATTTTACTAGTAATATTTTGGGAAGTGATTTTAAACCTAATGGCCAATTTTAAGGAGCATATTCAAAGACATATACATACCTATTGCTCAACAATAAGTATCAGGGACTTTATTTTTTATTAAGTTTGAGCTAGCACAGCACATTAAAAAGAATACTGGATAATTGATTTTATAAGTATCCTCAGCATTACTGGTCATGAGCATATAATTTAATGCAGAGAAATTATCTGTATTTTCAATTCAAAAGGGTTAAAACCTCCCCATTTTACAAATCTGGTGATTCAGGGAAATGATCTTAGGTAGTTATTATACAATTAAATTTCCCAAGATAAATATCTGGTGACATAATATCTAGTTTTAGTCTGTTATCTAATAATTGTACAAATTTGGTCTATGTGAATCTCATTTTTTCTTTTTTTTTTAAAAAACAAAACAAAGAAAAAGACACCCATTTCATCTATCTCAGAGGATTTCTGTTAAGAACAAACGTGAGTTTTCTTTGAAATCTATAAAGAAGAACCCATCATTAGCATTAGGCCAGAGAACACAAGCCTATTTCTATAGATGACACAGCTAAGAATGTGTAATTTGACAATGTGATTTAAAAAAATCATATCTGAATATACATAAATGACCAACTAAAACAAATTTCATATTAAATCTACTTCCACGTTTTAATTTATTTACTCCTATTTATTCCAAATGTGCAAACCAAAAGGATAGGAAAATACAAATATCTATGAAAGAAGCTCATCAATATGCCAAACTGTTCAAATCTGTAGTTCCTTTTATTACTCTTTTTAAATAACAGGAAAATTGGAGACATTTTAGTGTTAGCTTGGGTAAAGAAAGAGGAAGAAGAGCAAAACTGAGTGACCAAACCAAGGTTCAAACCTTGAAACAAATTACAACTCTGCCATCTCTCTAATCATAAGAGAAATAATTGACAGGGACACAGTACACTAGATGGTTTAAACGAGGGTGCTAGTACACTTTTAAGAACCATTCTAAAGCTTTATTATAGATTTAAAAATATGTTTAAACTATGTAAACCTGTGTGCACAGAACTGTTAAGATTTCTTAGCGATTTTCTAGATAAACTGAAGTATCATACAAGCAGTACCCAAACATCCTCTGTGAACATACAAAATTAAAATAATCCTATCAATAAGCATTCCTTACCTTAAAAGCAGTTGCTTTTCTAATTTTTTTAATTGAATGTCTTTTATATTCAATAGATCATCCCAATCTAGGCTTGCTTTTACTGTCACGTTAACCCTCATTTAGTTTTATGTGCTCTTTTTTGTTAATAGGTATCATATATGATTAAAAATATGACATCAATTAATGAACCAAAAAAAGCACATAAAGCTAAATGAGCGTTAAATCATTTAAATCATATGTATATATTTAAAAGGCTTATATGCAAATTGTCCCTGTGGGAGTTTGGGAGATTTGGAGTTCGATCGCTCGCTAT